GATGGGTGGATGGATGGATGGATGGATGGATGGATGGATGAATAGATGACAGATGGACGGATGGATGGATGGATGGATGGATGGATGGATGGACAGGTAAATAGGTAGATGAGTGAATGGATGATCAATGAATAGGTGGATGGATGGATGGATGGATGGATGGATGGATGGATAGACAGGTAAATAGGCAGATGAGTGGATGGATGAATCAATGAATAGGTGGACGGATGGATGGACGGATGGATGGATGGATGGATGGATGGATGGATGGATGGATGGATAGCTGTAGTTTACTCCAATGTAACTGGTAGATGGTAACAATATTCAAAGCAGAGTCTCCACATTACTAACACATGCCCTCATCCTGTAACTGTTTTTCCAGTGATGCCACACAAAGGCCCCAGGTGTTCACCCCTACCTCCTTAGGGTAATTGCCAAACTCAGCCTGCAAGGCAAGGACCCCCAGCTGCAGCAGCATCTCTTCATTGCAGTAGAGCCTCTCCTCCAGGATATCTTTCCGAAGCTGCAGGTAAAACTGGTGCCTTGTCAGGCTGTGCCTGGGAAAGAAGTAGCAATAAAGAAGGTTGGGTTGCTAAGGGAAAGGGAGAACATTAGCACCAGTGGGTTTTCTCACTGTGGGAAGTTGGGAAAGTAGGGAAGATGAGATGCAACTCAATAGAATTCAGAGGCAATGCCAGCAAGACAAGTGTGCTCTCCTCCATTTACGCCATGTCTCCTGCCCCTAGTTCAGGATCACTCACTTCACACAAACTTACAGAGGTGTTTCTTGCTCTGGTTTGAGTGAGGAAGCTAATAATCAGTTCGGTAGTGTTTCTAATAAACAAAGAAATAAAGAAGCAGTGATCAAACCACAAACCCATGTCTCTGTCCTCTAACCCTCATGACTGGGCTGCTGAGTTGTGTGTTGGGGGTGAGGGGGCATTTTGGGGTCACAGACAGAGAATTTTGACCTTGAGTGGAGTATGTCTGAAACAAAAGGGCATATTTTCATTTTGACCAGGGCCTGCACGAAAAAAACAAAAAACAAAAAACTGATTTTTCCCCTTTGTTCTATCTTGATTAGAATCCAATCAACAGAAAACCAACCACAATAGCTATTGTTATTTGTATGTAATTTACAGTTTGCAAATCATTTGTCGATCCATTACCTCTCCATCAGTCTGGACATACATAAATCCCTTAAGGAACAAATGAACACATTTGCAGCACTCACTGGAGCATCCCATAGTGGCTGACAAAGAACTTTATCCTCAGGAAGAGTGTGAAGGTATTCGTGGAGGTCTTCTGAGGTTGCTCTCTCCAGCCTTCAGGAGCTATTTTGCACAATCTGGTTTCACTGTCCAGGAAAAAGAACTCTTTGCCTGAAATGGAAATAGAGCATGTGTGGAGGGAGAAGCAGTAGGGAATGCACCATTCCTCAGACTCACAGCCCTAAGCCCTACCCAGAGGGTCACGCAGGGTGAGTGCAGGAGTGGGAGGTAAGTCTTTGAGCACCTGGTACCGAGGAATCTTTGTTGGGGTTGTGAGGTGTTAAGAAGGAGCAGACAAAGAGGAGAGGATCAAGTAAGGAAAACTCAGCACTGAGAGGAGAAAATAGCATTAGTTATCTTATCATACAAGCTGTTGCTTAATATCTGCCTTCAGCTATCATCTCATGGGTATAAAATGGAAAACCAACAAAAGGAGTTTCACTAAGTTTGTGCAATGTGCCAGAACCCTCCACCTCAGCTGGACCACCCCGCTCCTCCCCAGCCATGGAATCCTATGGTCCAAATACGTGTGTCCTCCCAAAATCCATATGTTGAAGCCCTAACACCCAATCTGATGGCATTAGGAGGTGGGGTCTTTAGAAGGTAACTATGTTTAGATGAGATCATGAGGGTGGGGCCCCCATGATGAGATCAGCGTCCTTATAAGAGGAGGAAGACACCAGAGCTTCCTCTCTCAGCCATGTGAGGACACTGTGAAAAGGAGGCCTCTGAAAGCCAGAAAGAGGACCCCACCAGGAACCAAATCAGCTGGAACTGTGTTCTCGGACTTTTCAACCTCCAGACCTGTGAGAAAGGAGTGTCTATTTTTGAGCCACCCCCTCTGTGGTATTTTGTTAGAGCGGCCTGAGCTGCCTAAGACATGGTGTAAGTGGAGTCAATTTGCCCTTTGACCCAAGTGGTTCCAGATTGAAAATTCCACCAACCCAAGCTCGGGACTTCAAATCCTGAAAAGTGTGTCCTCCAGTACCTCTGGGAGGGAGGCTGAATCAGCCTCAGCTGCTGAAGGCCCCTTCCTCACCCCTCTGCTCTCTTCACAGCAAAACTCAACCCCTCCAGTGCCCCTGGCCACTCCTGGGGACTGCTGCAGGTCTGCCCCTGTCCTGTTCTACCACACACTCAAAGTGGCTCCTCCTTCTCAGTGGTCCACCCTTTCAGCCCAAAGCATTCTCTAGCAGCTTGCCTGAGCACAGAAGTCCTGCCAGTTTTGGAAGGCAGAACTTTTAAACTGGTGACCAATCTCTTCTCCCAATGCATATGCATGCTGGGGTGGGGAGGGGGTGTCCAGGGTTTAAATAGTAGTCACCGCACTGCACTCAGACCTCCATCACCTCTGTCGCCTGCCTCTGCCCTTGCTGCTGAATCTGATGCCCCACACTGGACTCACCCTTCCTTTAGGATGAATTCTCCCCAAGGGACAGGCAGTTCCCCACCAAAGGTTGGTTGGTGAACCCTCCCAAGTTGATCTATATCCAAACCCTAGAGGTAGTCACTTTTGAGTGATTTCCCCAAGATGATCCTAGCTAGGCAGGTGTAGAATTGTCCACATGGGAGGGGCTCAGGATGGCCACCTGATTGGGAGTAGGCAGGTAGGATATAAGTGGATTTGTGAGTGCAGGTGCACTCACAATGCAAGCACACTGGATTAGATTGTATATTATAGATCAGTAACAATACAATTCTTAAAGACACCTGTATTCACACTTTACGGAAGGTCAAGCAAATATCAGTTGATCACATCAAAGCATATAACAGTTGTTCTTATTTGGGAGAGAGATCTTTATAAGGTCTGAGAACTATGGGGATAAGAACATGCTGTCACCAGCCCTGCTTGGTACAAAGAAGAATCATACAAGTTCGTGAGCTTCTCCTACTGCAAATGGGAAAATAGAGGAACACTGAGATATGACACCTAAGCCAGCTGGGCTGGGAGAGAGAGGATTTTGCCAGAAGGCCAGTGTGATGCCAGCTCAGCCTCCACACAGCGGTTAAAGAGATCCAGCTGTGGCAACATGATATTTACAGTAATGGTGTGAAAGTTATCAATACCAAAATGAGGTCACTTATGTCTAACCCTAATAAAGTGCAGCCAAAAGGCCATGAGGGAGGGGCACTCATGCGTATGCCTATACCAAAAAACACCACAGGAAATGTTTTCCATACTGCTGCTTGCTACATGAGTCACACAAGGATAGCCAGCAGCATAAGGACAGCCAGCTGCAGGAGGACATCTAGCCATTCACACAAGAACAGTTGCCTGACACTTTGTCTTCACCGATGAACTGATGTCAACTCCTGCAATAAGCCCCTGGAATCAATCATCTTTTTGTTTCAAAACAACTCACATGTACTTCTCTCTTTTGTCTTTAAAAGCTTCCCCTTCCCCCAGCCTCCTGGAATGCACCTGTAGTCCTCTAGAACATGCATATCCCGGATTGCGATCTCCTGCTAATTCCTGAATAAACCCTTTCTTTGGAAAGCCTGTCTCTCTTTGTTGTTATTTTAGGTTGGCAAAACCTGGTGTCAGAGATGTGGGATCCAAAAAGGACAAGCCTTTTTCCATATCAGTGACCGCAGAACCACGTGCAGTGTGCACTGGAGTCCATTGTGCTCTCTGCTTCTAGGAATCATCTTTCTGCTGGTGCTAAGTTCTGTCTTGGATTTGAGCACCCTCATTTTGGCTGAGCTTTGACTTGATTTAAGATCTGGTTTTATAGGTGTGAAGGACATGGTCCTTCTTCTGAGTATTCTTTTGGTTTCACTTTTGCAGGGGATTTAGCATCCTTTCTGGTGAGTCGGTTGTTTGTGCACAGAATTTAAATTGGCATCACATAGACTTTTCAAACATAATTCACCCCATGAATTTTTAAGCTTACGGGCAAATTATACCAAAGATAATTTAGAACTCCAGTGGCCAGATGGAGATCATTTGAACTGCCCAAGTTCGTTTCCTCCTTAGAATTAAAATGAGAAGACTGCAGCTATAAGGTCAGTTTGCTTGGGGCATATATTTCAATTGGCATCTTGAGGCTTCAAAACGCATTCAGGACTCAAAAATGCCTTAATGCAAATATCTCAAAGCTAGCTGAGACTCATTTCTCTCCAGAACCTTCCCTCCCCATCTACAATTCCTCCTCCTCTTTGTCTTCCTCTAGCTGAACTCCTTTTTTCCAAACTGCTCAACTACTAACCCAATTCTTCTCTCAATGACCACCAAGTCATCTTTTAATATGTGAATCTTCTAGGGAAGTTCTAGATGGGTAGAATAAAGAAGTTAAACTCTGCCATTTGGGCCTATCAGCTATTTAAGTTAAAGACACTTTTAAGTGCACTTTTAAGAGCAGGTGCAAATTGGCCACTTTGACCTTTGTGTTATTTCTTAACGAAGATGAAATTCCCATGTGATAGTCATCCTCCCTCTCCTGGAAGGAAAGGCAACATCCTTATCTTCAAGGACAAGAAGTTTAGACAAAATACCACAGAGACCTTGTTGGAATAACTCTGATCTTTTAAGCCTTCTCATAATTTAGTCCCATTTTCACAATTAACTGTTCTTTGTCCAACCCAGTAACTAATTTGTTGGAGTCTTCTTCTTCTTATGGGGGCTCCCATACCACATAAAACATTTATTATGCTTTTCTCCTGTTGATCTTTCTTATGTTAGTTTACTTCTCAGACACAGCTGGAGCCTGTGAGGATAAAGGATAGAAGTGGTAATTTTCTATCCTTACAGTTTCTGGCAATGAGGATGGCACTCTAACAGGCTAGACACTCCACTCACTCCAGCCTATGGATGAGATGCCGAGAGGCCTGACAAAAGTCTGCAAAACGTGGGGATTCTTTCCAAAGCCAGCTTTCCCAAATATCTATGGGTAGTGCCTGGCTAAGAGAAGAGGGTAAAAATTTTTTCTTGTCCCTTCTTTTCTAAATTTGAATTGGCAGGAGAAAAACATTTGTAAGAATGTTCTCTGAATTGTGACTTTTGTGAATTTGGTTCTAGGTTCTAACAGAAATAGCTCTTTTTTTTTCTTAATCTCTGTCTTCTGTGTGATTTACCACAAGGATAAAAGTTACAATAAGACTCTCCTTTCATCTTGTTTTATGTCTCAAGAGCTCTGTAGCCAGTGAGGATATCTTCTCTGGTCTCCACCAGCCGGGCCGTGGAGAGATTGTCAGGTTTGCATCAGATGGCTAGCCAGCTGACTGGGAGTCTGAAACACGAAGCGTCTCCTTGTCTCAGAATGCCAGCTCCCAGGGGAATTTGTCTCAATTGTTTCAACCTCCACTACCTTGTTAACAAGGAGGGCCTTTGTTTTATGTCTTTGGGAGAAATGTTGGATCTCGATGGGGGTACTGCAGTTTTCACACTCTTTTTGTGGAAGCCTCTTGCATCCATGGTTAAGCCATAAAAGGCTACTGGCTTTGAGTCACAATTGAAGTGGCTATACCTTTGGATATTTGGACTTTTATATTTAAAAGTATTTTTTAGACAGTTCTCATCCTGACAACTGTCCTATTGGGACATGTGAGATCTGGCTTGATGGAAGAAAACACACACTTTTATAAATTAACTATTTTCTCAGAAAAACAGAACTAACCTAAATGTTTTTCGAGTTCAGGTGATCTGGTATAATTTTTGGTAAACATAGAAGCTAGTTTAAGTTTTTTGGTTCAACTAAAACAGGCATGTGTGCAGACTTGTCAACACTAAACATAATACAGACGTATCACTTCTATCTGGATTTATTGAGCAAAAGTGTAAGTATGTTTAAGATGGTAAAATTATAAATGTAACCTAAGAATGAAACACACAGTAAAAATAAATTGCTTGATGTGTGACAAATGTGACAATGAGAAAAGAGAGTTAAAAAAAAAAAACTGTATGTTTTAACTTTTAGGTCCTCTGTTTCTGTGGTATTTTTTAATTTGCCTGATTTACTAAACAAGAAAAATAACTTAAGATAATGACTACATTTGTTTAATGTCTAATGGAGTTTTCATAAACAATTCAAACATAATTGTTAAAACCAAGTGAATTGATAAATGTAAATGTAAGTAAAATAGAATATAAGTAAGCTTTACAACAATGATTATGTTTTATGAGATACATTTACCTAAAATGGTTTACAAAATCTTTTTGGTTACTTAAAACCTTAAAGTTATAGTACGTTGAATGAAATGATGAATATTCATGTAATAGACCATTTCCAAAGATATAATGCTGAAACATTAGTTGTTGAACATAAGTTTAAGCTTATAAACTTTTGTCTGCTCACTGCAGAAGAACAAAAGATATTTGGGTCTGTTAATTAAAATGCTGTGTGCTACACTGAAAAAATGTGCTATGAGGGAGCATATATTTCTAGATGTTATAAAATAATGTTTTCACAAATTTGTAAAAGGCAGTTTATGATTGCTTACTTTCTAGTTTTCTGGTTTTCAATAGAAATTAAAGTTACCAAGAGTTTTTAAATTTCAATTACTATGCGTAATTCTGTATACAAAGTGTACAAAAAAGTAAGATATGTTTGGGTGAGAAAAGTTATAAGGAAGATATGAGAATGTGTTTTTATTTGTTGTTTTTTAAAAAAGTAATTTTCTCTAGTTGGAGGTTAGTTAAGGATTGCTTCAAAACGAATAAAGGAAAAAGTGATATTAATAAAACTGAAGAAGAACATTATAAATAGTTTGAGAAAATTGCAAAAGGTTTATGGAAGATGAATATTATGAAAGAAATTTTTGTGTGATCAAGGTAATTAAAATTAGAAGAAAATTCTTTATTTATGTTTTTCTAAAACTTGAGCCTTAATATCAAAAGCATACTTGTGAAAAACTATTATTTTGTCTTCTCTGTTAATAAAATAAAGTTATATTGCAGTATTAGCCTCTGCTGTTAATATTAATATAAGATGTTTTTCCTTAACTTTTTAGTAATTGGCCTAGAAAAAAAAGATTTTGTGTTTTATCAAAATAGTTTCTTGTGCTCTCTGCTGTGTTTTATTAGGTCTTTGATTAGTTAAAAAAGTGAGTCTTCTCAATATTAAAAGAGCTAAGTTTTGGCCATTATGTATTTGCCTTTTGAAGCCTTTTAATTATCACTCTGGTTATATGAATGGCAATTATTTCACAGTGACCTGTGATTCTATTTTGATCAAGAGTTTTAAACCTTTTGACAGCTTTGACACCTTCCCAAAATCAAATTCTAAATTGAGTCTTTTTGACCTTGAATTTACTTTGGGTTTTCCAGCTGGACCCTTGAAAGCAACAAAGGATATGTCCCTTACCTTGTAAAAGAGATATTAAACTAATTGGGTTTATTCAATATTTTAAAATGCATGGGAAACATTGTCCAATAACAAGTGGTAAGAAAACTTTAAGTTATATCTACAAATATAGTTTTGATATAAATGTTCCTAAAATTGTACAAAATTGCTAGAACTCCCGTATGGCTTAGTATAATATTTGGTTATTATGTTAAAATGATATATGCCATAGAAATAACCAAATTTCTCTGTCAATTGCTGGTTATAATAAAATCTCCTCAGATTTGTAACCATGACCATTCTAAGTCCTTGTCATCCATGGAATATTATGGTGTTGATACTTTTCTAAACGCCCTTGCAATCAGCTACAGTCCAAAAATTGCTTTTTCTTCAAGGAAGTTCACAGAAAGGATGGAAAGAATTCTGACAAGTTACAGGTTTCTGATAACTTCAAGATAAAACCATTGGACTAAGGAAAAATGTCCGGGACACTAAAGAAACTAAGTTTGTGAAACTGCTAACCAAGATCAAGCAGAACAAGAATTAATTACATGAGGCTGAATGAATAGATGAAAAAGAATAATGGGTTTTTATAATTTTTACTTGAAATTTCACTGGTTCTTTAAATGTTTTGTTTTCTAGATTTAAGGAAACTTTTTCCTTGTACGTTATCTATAGTTTACAACAATATAATAAAGTGCACTCTTGTGAACAAAATTAAAATATTTGCTTTTTCTCCCTACCTAATCCAACCAGAATTCTAAAACTAACCATAAGTATTCTTATTTTTATGATAATATAGTTATTTATATAAGTTCAATAAAAATATGCTCTCTTTATAACAGGATACAATATTTAAAATTGGTTATATTACTAAGGCTTTGACTTGGATGTCATATTTGAAAATGCACATAAAGTTACCTCAGCCAAACTGAGGTTTGTCTTGATTTGGCCTCCTAGCCTTGTGAGACTTTTAAAAGTCCAGGCTGAGATTCTTATCGAAAGTTCTAGCAGAACAAGCTTCAAAGGAGCCTGCGTGGTCAATCACTATTCTTGATACACTTACGTAAATACTCAGGCCAAACTTGATGAGGCTAAACTTACTTAGCAAGCAAATTTGTCTTATTGTGATTATCTTTAGTAAAAATGGGGGTAACTGTAGATAAGAAATTATGCTTCTGAAGGAAGGTGAAAACTGTATTACACCTGTTATCTGACTGTAGTCCTGTTTATTGCTTTTGTGTGTTTCTAATCTACCTGTAGACTGAACTGGACCTTGAATTCTTCTTGTTTCCTCCAGTATCTGGAGAACTAAGAACAAGAACTGCTCTGTTCCTAAAGCCCTATAAACTGAAACTGGACAACTCGATGTAAAATTCTAGGAACAAGTCTCCCTGACTAGTTCCTCTCTGTAGTCGCCTGATGTGCGAGCTACACAGAGAGTTCACCAAAATGCCCATTGATGGTCTAGTACTTCGAAATGACCACCAACACCTAGGAAACAGAACAATGAACTCCAGAAAGACTTAGCCTCAGAGCCACTCCTTCCAAACCTCCATGTTGCTTAAATGAAGCTGAAAGAGGTTTTGACATCAGCTCCTACTTGCTGGTCATTTCCCTTCAACACGAGACTAGAACGACCAGGAAAGGTCCATCCCAGCACCGAGGAATAATCAAAACCTAACCACAGGATGATCCGGTAGTGATGCTTTCAGAACAATAACTTGATTGGAGAAATGTAAACATTATCAATACCAAAATAAGTCACTTATATTTAACCCTACTAAAACGGAGCTGGGAGGCCGTGAGGGGGGTCACTCATGCTCTATACCTATAATGAAAAATACCATAGAAATTTTTTTCCAAACCACAGCTTGCTACATGAGTCACACGACGACAGACAGCAGCACAAGGACAGCTAGGCCACACAAGCACAGCTCGCCACTCACACAAGCACACTTGCCTGACACTGTTTTCACTAATGAACTGACGTCAACTCCTGCAATAAGCCCTCGGAACCGATCATCTTCTAGTTTCAAAACAACTCGCATGTACTTCTCTCTTGTGTCTATAAAGGCTTGCCCTTGCCCAACCTCCTTAGATGCATCTATAGTTCACTACAGCATGTGGATCCTAGTTTGAAATTTCCTGCTAATTCCCAAATAAACTCATTCTTTGGAGAGCCTGTCTCTCTCCACTGTTATTTTAGGTTGACAGCAGAAATAAAGAGTCTCTAATGGAACGTCAGAGAGGGAAGAGGGTATAGAAACCCTTTTTCTTGGATATTTAGAATGGAATCTTAATTAGGCTCCTAGGGTCAGGGTACTGAGTCCCCATTAGTACTGCATCATTAGATGGAAATGCTTTTAACATTTGCCTGTTTGTCTAACTTCAGTGCCCTGAGATCAATCAACCAGATCCAGCAAGCCACAGAAACCCACATCTTACACTCATTATTTCCTGACAATCTTCTGCACTTGCTTGATGCTTTATCCATGAATACTTGAAGCCCTCATCATGCTGACTAATGTCTAGGTATACAAAGGGAGGCACCCAAGTCTTAAACAGTTTTCCCAGAAGAAACAGAGCTCAGGTACCCAGACACCCAAGTTACTGGAGGCACCAGGCCAGCTGGGAGTTGCCCAAGAGATGCTTACCTTTCATATACGCCAAGCCAAAGTAGGTGAGTTCCTCAAGCTTGGCAAAGGACGTTACGGCATTGAAGACAGCTCCCACTGTTGACTCGACATCACATTTTACCTCCAGGTGCTGCCCGTTCAGCAGGACCACACAGAGGTCCCTGAGAGCCAAATAGGATTTCCCTTTTTTGGTCTGAAAACAACAATAGTATCAATTATACTATAATTATAAGTCATTGAGCCTTTAGTGTGTGCTGGTTACTGTACTAAGCACTTTACACACATTGTTTCACTTAATTGACAAACAACTCTAAGAGATGAGTATATTTACAGTTCCTATGCAGCAGATGAGAAACTGAGGCTCAGAAATGCTAAGAGTCTTGCCCAGGGTTTGCAAAGTTTGTAAGGCAGGAATTGAACTCAAATCTGAGCCTTCTGCCAGGCTCAGCAGGGGCCAGGAAAGCTGGGAGGCCCGTCTGACTGATGTCTTTCCCCTGCAGAAATCCCAGCTGCCCCTTGGGTTCTGCTTCCTAAGAAGGTCACCCAGGGCCCTCATCAATGAATCGTATGGCCCTGGATCATTCTGTCGATCTGACATTGTCTCCCCAGGCTCCAGCAGAGCACAGGTTAATTAATTCTAAACTTCAGAGAGAATTTGGGTGGGTGCATATCCAATGAAGAGACAGAGTTGGAGCAAGGGGATTACCTAGACTCTAGAAATGGGTCAGCAGAGCCAAAGAGCCTCCAGAGTCTGCCTTCTGCTTCTTCATCTCCCACCACAGCCCCACCCAGACCACTGTCGCCTCGGCTCAGCCTCCTGGACAGTTCATCACCAGGCAGCCGCCTGGGCCATTCTGCCTGTGTCTTTGCACATATAATACCCACTGCCCCCAGGGCTCTTCCATTCCCTCCCCACGTGGCAAACTCCTATGGGTCTGTCTGGTCAGGCTCTGAAGCCCTTGTCTGTGGCTCTTCCTTAGTATCCCCATGTCCCAAATCCCAGCCTGGACCTCCCCCGGGAAGTTCTCTTTAGAAGGCAATCATGGAGAGACACTAGCATATGTGGCCTTAGTGCCATTGAGACCATGCCTGCGGTCACACCCTGACCCTCCTGGCACCCAGGGGCAGCCTACGCACTCCAAGGGCCAGAATAGCTCTGAGGACCCTGTGGGAGGGGGTTTCCCACAAGTTGCTGGGCAGGGCTGATCACACAGGCACACTCCATGCCACCTCGGTTCCCACACTTGCTGCATACCTGAGTCACCTGAGAGGTGAGGGGACCACCCCCAAGATGGTTCTGTCAGCCTGGCACAAGGCCTGGGAAATCAATATCTTGTAAAGCTTCCCAAGTTGATTCTGCGAGGGCCAGGAAGGCTGGGAGGCAGATCTGACCCGCTTCTTTCCCTTGCAGAAATCCCAGCGGCTTCCTGAGAGGGCTGCCCAGGCCCTCAGTGATCCACCAGTGATGGGCCCCTGCTTGGGTCCAGTGCTCTGAAGCTGCCCTCTGGGCACTCTTAATAGCTGTGTCTTGGAATGTGTGTTTTCTAAGTGAAGTCCCCAGGACAATGAGCGTGTATACAAAGCTTCGACTTTCAGCAGTCCTGCCTCCCCCCCTCCTTGGAGGGTTCTGGCTGCCAACTCCTCTGCTCTCTGAATCCCCAGGCCTGGCCCAGCCTCCCCTGCCCCTTCGTCCTCCCCACACAGTGACCTCTGCTGTCCTCCACTGAGGGCAGCCATGGCTCTCACTGCCCCCTAGTGATGCCCTCCTCAGGGGCTGGTGGAGGAAAGGTCCCAAGTAGGCACATGCACCCAAGGCGTGTCAGAGCAACCATGACAGTGGCTGTCCCCACCAGCATCAAAGCTCTTTCCATGGGCGATTCAGCAGGGAGAAGCCTCTCACCCACCCAGCTCCCAAGCCAGGTACCAAATGTATCTCCATACAAAGGGTATAACCCCTTGGAGGACCACTGATTGTCTGGACCGGGGCAGCAGAGTCATGGGAAGGGAGCTTGGGCTTTTTCACCCTGCATGGGGCACGGTGCATGGATCCAGCAACTGGTGTGACAAAGTCACAGGGCAGGGTCCCAGGTACCTGCAAGGGTCTCTGTCTACCTCGTGAATATCCCTATGCCCAAGAGAATGTGACATTAAACAGCAAATAAAAAATAAAAACACCATGACATGCTGAGACAGAGAAAGTACACATGGAGAAAAAAGAAAATGTTTTATATTTCAGCTCCTCTGGTGGCTGCTTTTGAACACAGGATGCTGCCTCTTCACGTTTCAGTGAGCCTATTTGCCAGTGTTTCCCATGGGACAGTCATGCTGTGAGGGGAATCTGTTTTGTTCCCAACACCCATAGGGAAGCAGAAGGAAAGGGTGTGTGTACGAAGAACTCCACTTAGAGGGAGACATAGAGAGCTACACTGACTGAGGACCATGGGGACAGGAAAGGAGGGGCTAAAGCAACAGGGGCAAATGCTCCAGTCCAAGTCAGACAAACAGACCGAGTGACATAGGAAACCCTGGGAATGGGGCCTCCCCTTTCCCAGGTAAGGGACAGAGGTCCAAAAAGTCTTTTATTGAGGGAGCCCTCGGTCACCCTCATGCCTTTCTGGTACCTTTCTAGAGGCTAGGGTTCAAGATCCCCTCTGAGGATTATAACTAGGCTCCTAGACCTGGTGTGTAGGTCAAGATGCTCGCCCCGGACAGAACTGGCACAATAGCACCGTTTCCATCACCTGGAGTCTTGGTACCTAAGCACTGCACAAGCGTCCCTGCAGAGCAGGGGAAGCTGGCCCCCATCACAGCAGGTCTGGCCCATCTACCTGGTGGGTAGAGGAGTCTCCAGTCACGTAAACCATGTGACCACAGGGATGTCAGGAAGGGGTTCCTGGGTGAATTTTCCTTTCTTCCCCTCAGCTGAGGGCTGGTGATTTGAAGGGGATGGGCAGAGGTGGGACTGGCCTGAGGAGGCCATGGCCCTCTGACTTGCAAACCCCATACAGGAAGTGTCTTCAGAAAGTTGTAGACCTCCAGAGTGAGCCACCCTGACACCCCCAGCCCCTCACACACCAGTCTCCTTAAGTTTAGCATTTTCATGCTTTGGGTAACTCAATCTTGCATACTTGGGGTGTAAAAGTTATCATCCCACTTCATACTTTTTGTGTCAGTGCAGAGGGACCAGGCACACAGTGGGTGCCCAGTCAGCGTGTGCTACATGAATTGATGCAGTTGGTCATTGCATAGGAATTGGAGGCCCGGGTTAGGCGGGCATCCCACTTGCACTGACCAGTTTGTTTCAACACTTTCAGGACTCAGGTGTAGAGGGAATGATGTCAGTGCACTGAAACAGACATTCCCTTGACAGGGGAGTATATGGAAGCTGGGATTCAATGGGATTTTGCTGGAGTGAGCCAGAGGTGGGCTCATTGGTGCTCTTCAGTGCAGGAAGGACAAGTGGTAGGTGATGCAGAAGCCTGGGAGGAGAGAGCGTCTAGCCACGCCCCACTCTAGCCCTGCCTCCAAGAGGCCCTGAACAGAGGCCCAGAAAGCCAAACTGACAATGCGTGCGCTTCCAGCCCTGGGGGTTGGGGAGATGGGAAAGGCTCACATTCAAATACTTAACATTGACTGAGAAGCTCCCGGCCCCAACTGGGCCCTGGACAACAGAGATATGGACCTGAACATGGACAGATACGTCCTGGGGAGCTCAGGGTGAGACCAGCCGCACATGGGGCTCTGCAGGGGACATGCTCAGGCTCTGGGGTAGGGAAAGGACAGGCCACACAGTATTTGCCCTTCCTGAAAAGCCCACATGGCTCACTCTTTGTCTTCACCCAGTCTTTGTTCACAAGATGCCTCCCCAGAGCCACTTCCCCATCTAAAAGAGCATACTCTCCCTCCTACCACCTGCCATGCTCCATCCTCTTCCTTTCTTCATTGTTTTTGTTTTTGTTTTTATCACAAATCACTACCTGGCATTCTTTTATATTTATGCATTTGACTGTCTTTGCCTCCTCCTTCTAGAATGTAATCTCCACATGAAAAGGACTTTGTTTCATTCACAGCATAGGTGGGGGCCTAGAATAGTGCCTGGCACCTGGTAGATGTTTCACAGCGTTCCCTAGCTGAGGCTGGGAGGGCCAGCAGGACTCAGCTGGAAGTCACATGGGGCCCCTTTAACAGGCCAAAGGGAAAACAGCAGCAGTGGGAGGTAGTGATGTTTCTGGCAGGGGTCTGGGGGAAACTGAATGTCACTGGGGTGTGTCCCCACGTGAGACCCCATTCAGACACAATTGGCCTCCCGTAACTGCCCACTTCCCTCACCACCCTCCATCCCTACCCAGTCTAGCCCAGTAGTTACCACAACCGATCCTGGCAGATGTAGTGTCGTCGGGGCCTCTCCAGCCAACAGGATGAACTCTGGCCTGGAAAACTGGAGGAAAACAGTCACATATGGTAGAGAAGACGACAGATTCCAGGCTTTGGGTCTGGGCTTCCCCCATGATGCACCTCTGCAGCCCCCACCAGCACACATTCC